CAAAATTTCATACCCTAAAAAAAAAAAAAAAAAAAAAAAAAAAAAACGGAAAAGGAACCCATGGAAATGTGAAAATATGACAGCCGACACTTTCTTTTCATTAAATACTGTCCGGTATAGAGAGAGTGTAATGACGGATGTGGAGGGCAGGCTGCTCCCTCCTCTTGGGGACTATAACACCTCAGTCCAGTCATTATCCGGCCAGTAAAAGAGACACCCACCGTACACAACCGTGGATACCCCCAAAAATTATTCTGCTCATTAAGATGTGTCCCCCACCTCCACCTTAGACTCACGGTTTATTTATGGTTCTCAACAAAGAATATCAAAGAACTTAGTGAAGCTAGGCTATCATAAATGGTAGCATTACTTTAAATTCAATATTTAAAACTAATTACAACCAGATTGCATTTTTGCAAACATTTTTTAATAAAAAATTTTTTTTTAAATGTATATATATATATATCTATATAATTAAATAATAATAATAATAATAATAAACTATTAATTTTAAACTAAAAATGAAACTATTATTATTCATAATAATAATAAAAACAGTTCTTCATATGATTGTCCTTTCTTATAATTTTACTGATCTCAGCATTTGTGAAAAAGCAATCTGGTTGTAATTATGATTTCTGGACTGTCTCGTCTTGTCGAGGTGTAAGGAACACTAATTTCCCAGCACACCACAGGTTGGCTCTGAGCTGCCCACGGTTTTCATGATGTCACATTCTTTTCCCCCATGGTTTTCATTTGAGCCGCTCCGTTTTAAAGGAATCTTTGAAACTCGAAACCCTGTACTACTTTGTTAAGGGCCAGTTGTAATACTTTCAGGATAATAAGCTTTACTGACTTGTTGATCCACCGTCCCCCCCCTACTCAAATCTTTTTTCTTGCTCCTTTCTTTTTCCAAATTTCAGTGTATTTAACAAGCATTTAGATCTTAACCAGATGCCGTTAATGTACCATGTCTAAAATACTAAACATCCACGCGGAGAGCGGGCCCGTTTCCCTTCACGGCGCTGCTGCTGCTGCTGGGAGACACAAGAAAGCTGCTCTGCACATTCACACAGTTGCTGCAGGGACCCGTGGAGACGTCCAAGTAGATTGCGTATTAACCAAAAGGTTTTGTGATAATTGGTGAAAAATGTTCTTGTCTAATATTTTACAGTATTTCATTTTTTAAATCCTGCTTCCTTTAGAATTTTCTTGAATTTCACTGCAAAAAGCTCAGTTGTAAGAACATCAAGCAACCATGTATAATAGCGGTCCTTTGGCACTTGTTTGCTAATAATGCAAAGAATATTTCATATAGAATTTTTGACTAAATGCTTAAGAGTGTTCATTACTTCATACAGTCACTATCAATGGCTTTTCTCTGAGACAAGAACACTTCCACTGCAGTACACCTTATGCATCAGCAATCAGAAAATGTCTTTTGTTGCTGTCAGTTACTTTCATCCAAGAAAGTTTTCCTATGCTACCAGCTCCTCTGTGATGTATGATGCACTCAAAACCATTAATCACCTCCATCAAATGAATAAACATGATGAAGATTAAAGCTTCTGCTTTTGCTGCACCAACACAAATGTCCCCCTTCATTTCTGCAGACTTCTGTTTCTGCCCTCATGAAATACTGTATATTAATGGTTCCAAATAACTAGCATTAAATCTTTTAAAGAATGCATCTTCAAAGGTTTCTACAGACAAACCCCAAACACCTGCATCGTACACAAAAAGGCTTTTTGTGTCCATGCCATTCGGATTACCTGAGGCATCTGGAGAAAGGAGGCACCGCAGCCGGGCTTACTCTAGTATTTGAAAATAATATAAAAAGATTCCTCCTCGTTTTGTTCTCCCCCCTGCCTCCTTGCTCCTTTCTTTCTCTCTCTCTCCTTTTTTTATTATTCTCCATCCAATATTTATTCAAGACATCATTATAAACATCTGCCCGGGTA